AACCAACTTTTTCCAGTCTTGGAAGCTGATTTTTTTCCCTCCTGATCATTTCAGATGGGAAATTTAAGCTGTCGTCTGACAATTCAAAGCGTTTTGAGTGCTGCACAAGAATGGGAACAGAAAATGCCAGACAGGATTTTCTTATCAAAACTAATCAGTTTGTCAAATCCATCATTTTAAACATGTTTGTAAACTGCAACCTCACCTCAGTAATGCAGCATGACTGGTAATGTACTTCTGTGACAGCAGATGTGCAAAAAGTGCACCTTAGAGGCATTTTTCTACATACAGATATGCAAGAGAATTTGAATTTGATGTGGACTCCAATATTGCCTGGTGTCCTTCAGTTTTTGTATAGACCAATATATCTGAAAATTCTCAGAATGGTAATTTGCAACAGGATAAATGTAAGTTTTGAGAGCATGTCTACTTAGGCAAACTCTTCCTAAGGTCTACTTAAACTGTATGGCTTTTGTATCTTTATGGAACATGTTTCATTTCAAAATGATCTTGATTCTGTTTTCTTTCCCTTCTGCTGTATCCAGCATCTAACATGCAACAGATCACAGACTTCCTTTCCAAAACACTATTCCCAGACACAACTTACTCACAGCTATTCTACACCTCAAAAGCAGAGGTACATTTCCCCCTCAGCAGCACATTGTCAGATCCATGTTCACCCAGTCGATGCGAACTTCAGAACAAGATGTGTTCAGCAATGCGCTTTCCCACGCACCACTTCCACCAGGACTGGAACAAACACACAGGAAACAAACTAATCTCGACTGCTGCGAGCTGAGGGCAGAACTGTGACCAGGAACTACAGGTCACACCGGGCGACCATAGAGAGACACGGAGCCTCTGGAGGGGTCCAGGGGGTGAGGGAACTGGAACATCTCTTCTTGCAAGGAAAGGTCGAAAGAGCTGAGTCTGTTCAGCCTCGAGACAGCTGAGAGGGGACCTCATTAATGTGTATAAATATCTGAAAGGAGGGTGTAAAGAGGACAGAGCCAAGCTCTGCTCGGTGGTGCAGAGCAGTAAGACAAGAGGCAACGGGCAGAAACTGATGCACAGGAAGTTTCTCCTGAACACGAGGAAGAACTTCTGTACTGTGCGGGTGACCGTGTGCTGGAACAGGATGCCCAGAGAGGGTGTGGAGTCTCCTTCCGGGGAGAAGAACCGCCTGGACACAATCCTGTGCCATGTGCTCTAGCACGACCCTTCTTGAGCAGGGAATTTGGACCAGACGACTCATTGTGGTCCTTTCCAACCCGATCCATTCTGTGATTCTGTGACCTGCCGCGCGTGTCACGCAGAGCACGACCAGGATGCCACCCGAGCTTCATTCCCTCACACGCCTCCCGCCGGGACCGGCACTCCGAGAGCCGCTTCCCGGACCATTCCAGCGGCCCGCCCGGCCCACTCTCCCGCAGACCGCAGCCGGGCAACCCTTCGCTGCCCCCCGCGGGACCCCGGCCCCAGCCCCAGCCCCGGCCCCGGCCCCGGCCGCCCGCTCCCGGCCGGGCGAGCCCGGTCCCTGCCGCCACCCCCGGCGGCGCCGCCCCCCGCTCACCATCTCCTCATGCCCGGGCCCGTCGGGCTGCCCGGAGCCTACAAGGCCGCCGGGTCCGGGGCTCGCCCGTCCCTCGGGGGTCTTCCTCTCGCTCGCGCCCTTCCCGCGCCGCGCCGCCCGCCGCCCCCACAGGTAGATGGCTCCGGCGCCCAGCAGGATGGGCGCGCCCAGCACCAGCGCCAGCTGCCAGCGGGACAGCCCCGCGGGGCCGCCGCCGCCCGCCGGCTCCACGGGCTTCGAGGCGGCCATGACGCCCGGGCGGAGCAGCGGGAGGAGGGTCAGCGGACACGCGGGGCGCGCCGGGAGCGCGGGGCTGAGCCGCGCCCGCCGCCCGCCCGCACCGCCCCTGCCGGCCCGGCGGGGCAGCGCAGCCCCGGAGAGGGAACCCGCGGGAGGCCGCGGAGCGCAGGGAAGCGGCGGGAGCTGAGGGGGATGTCAGCCAAAAAACGCTGCAGGGGCCTCGGGTCCGGAGTGATGTTGTGCGGAAGGAGTTCTGGGCCGCTCACATGCGGAGTGCGCTCCACATCTGGAGTGCTCTCTCCGACTCTGGGCTCCTCAGGACAAGAGACGCATGGAGCTCCTGGAGAAGATCCAGTGGAGGGCGCCGAGGGTGATTAAGGGGCTGGAGCCCCTTTCTTACGAGGAAAGGCTGAGTGGGCTGGGTCTGTTCAGCCTCGAGAAGAGACGGCTGAGAGGAGACCTCATTAAACTGTGTAAATATCTAAAAGTGGGCTTCCAAGAGGATGGAACCAGGCTCTTCTTGGTGGTGCCAAGCGATAGGACAAGAGGCAGGAGCAGAAACTGATGCACAGGAAATTCCTTCTGAATATGAGGAAGTGTGTGGATGACCAGAACAGGTTGCCCAGAAGGGTTGTGGAGTCTCTGTCACTGGAGATACTCAAGAACCATCTGGACACAATCCTGTGCCAAGTGCTCTGGGATGACCCTGCTGGAGCAGGGAGGTTGGACCAAGTGATTCACTGTAGTCCCTTCTGACCTGACTCTGTCTGTGATTCTGTTCTTCTGTGATTCTGTGTAGTTTCAGCTAATATGGCTGATTTAAAGTTTCTAGGACTTTGTACTGGAGCATTTTGAAGCAATTCTTATTATAAATGACATCTTTAAGTCATTAATTGAGTCTGTCATAAAAATAATTTAATATGCAGTACTGGAATTTTGTACTCGGTTTAGATGTGTGTGTGTGCGCCCACTTAGCATCCTTACCTGTAGGTAGAGGAAGCTTATGTTTCTGTCTCCACTTATTTCAATGGACCATTTGGCTGAGGATGAAGAGGAATCGTCTTTGATATGTTTTTATACTCAGGAAGCTCTAGTCATCTTATGGCTAGAAATTTCATTGTAGGTGGCAGGGAAATGGAAGGAATATGTGTGAAGAAACATATTACAGTGAAGAAAAAAAGGACTGAAAATATAAACAACAGGAAGATTGCAAAGCAAATACTTCAGGAGCCCAACTAAAATTTGCCCTGCTGCACTCTGAGTCAGTAGTGCCTGGTAGTAAATTGCTTGAGATGTATCCTCTAATTTATGGATTATTACTATTTACCTAAACATATTTCGACAAAGCTGTGGGACAACCTCTCTCCCACTTCTCCCTGTCACCTGTCTCAGCATGGCAGGAGCATTTCCTGTTCCACACAACAGCCTGCAGTTCTGTCTTGCATGTCAGAAAAGAAGAAATTCAAACCACAAAGTAGAAAACAACTATCCAACAGGTTGATAACTTCCTACTGGGACAGCCTCAATTCCACCCACGTGATGCTTCCTGTAAGCTACTGTAGGCCTTCAGATATATCTTGCCTGAACACATGGGTGGCCTCAAGGATGTGAGTCAAATTCAGGCTGTCAGAATATGGCCAGAAGTGTTCTTCACCACCTGAAGAATCAGGCTACACATCCTTTTTATTGCTTCAGGTATCTTTTTATTGTACTGCTTTGCAGGTATTCCTCTTGCTCCTGTTCACCTGTGCCTCTGCCAAGAAAGCAGCCTGCTGCAGGTTTGATTGTGTCCAAGCTCTGATACGTCACATCTGAGGCAACACCATTTGCACACCCAGGTACTCCAGGTCCCCGTGCTACACAGTCTTGCCTGCCTCGGACAAAGTAAAACTTGGGCACATAGGTATCCATGACCAATTGGTCCTTTACCCATATTGTTTAGAATGAAGAGTCCTACACTGTAGTTAAATCTCCTACCTACACCCACATGAATGAAACTGGACTTCTGTTACTACATCTGTATTTCTAAGTAGGTTGTGGAATAGGCAAGGTTTAATGCTGGACCCCTGATCCTCTGTAATGCTAAATTACCAGCAAGCTTTTTAGCATACTTCTGACCAAGGCCAACTAGCATCTCCACAGCAATGCCTAGGTACCAGGAGAACACCTAGAACACACCAAGGACTGCTTCCAATAAGAAGTTAGATTTGGGTTCTTCCTCTTATGCAGTCTTCCAACACTACCCCAAGAGGCTCTACAGCCTTAGAGCCCTCCTCCTTGTCTTCTGCCATGTCCCAAGGCATGTAACACATCTTCCAGTTTCATACCATACAATCAACAGTTTTATGGGCCACAAGAGAGTTTTTGTGTTAAATCAGATAATTTAAAATAAAGAATACACAAAAGTTACAACAAAATATTACAGCCACAGTGCAGTACATACAGCCTCAAGGAGACCCACAGCACAAGCGCCATGTAGGGTACGTGTGATCAGTGTAGCAACTTAGTCTCAGGGCCAGAAAACAGTCTGGCCCTATTCTGTTTGTGGTATAGACATGGCCTATGTGGGTTACATCCAGGGCTGGTGAGGAGGAATCATACATATTTTTACCCTGTGTGCATTCAAGCGAGGCAGTGCCTCCCATAACCCTGTATGGCAGATGAAATTATTCTGGTGAAAAGCAGATGACACAAGTTTCCACTGTCTGTTCAAAAATGAACAAGTGGTTCCTTCAGAGGGGGCTTGCTTCTACCTAGACAGACCATATTTCCTAAATACTGAAGGAAGAGCAGAGGCAACAGAAGTCAGGATGGAGAGAAACCTGGGAAGAGTTGGCCATTTGTGCTCCCTCCCACAGAGCCAGTTATGTCTCTGCAAGCAGCCGTGCCAGTTCCTGACCAACATCAATATGTCGATCCTGCTTCTCGAAATCACAGGCCTACTTTGGGTTTGTGTACGCACCTCCCAGGCATGTAACTGTGGGCAATTCTCCATTGGTATTGACAGCTGGTGCACTCAACAGCCACACACACAGAGTAGCCAACACTCCCCCCACCAGCCCCCTGCGGCAGTGTCATATTGGACAGCGCTGCAATGGAAAGGTTAAAAGAAACCTCGTTGAAAAGAAATGAGAAAGGATTGACTTTATGTTTAGACGGTGCCCAGGGCTGCAGTGGGATGGGTTTGTGCAGAAAGAGTGGTTGAAACTGCATCTCTGCTTCCTCTTGTTGGCAGAACAGTGTGAAGTTGCTGGCTTGGTGGTGGAATTTGACCTTACTTTTCCTTGTCTGGTTGGGAGACACCCCCCCAAGTTTGGAACATCTGTACATGGAATATGACGAGGATGATGATATCTTCTTTGCAAAATGGATGAGCAGCTTCTGGGGCCACAACTTGATCGATGAGAATGAGAAAGAGGGTAGAGGCCACAGGAAACGTCAGACACGATTCTGTAATGAGAGGAGAGCATCCCTACCGGTAAGAGTTGTGTGCAGTTTTCTCTGTGTGTGCATGTGGTTTATGCATAAATATAAGTTCCATCCCCAGGAGCATGGCCCTAGAAATGTATCAGGATGCATATGGTACACCTTACCAAGTAAGTTCAGTTCCTGCTGGCAGCAGCTAGTTGCTTTCTGGATTTAGCTGCCCACCAGGGTCAGGCCTCTGGTGTCTTCAAATATAGGAAAACTGGCAAATTCCAAGATAAATGATGACAGGACCAGAAACACAAGGAGAAGCATGTAATAGCTGCCTAACTATGCATTACAGTGTTTTTCTGTCTGCTCAGCATGACCTGGCAGAGATCAAAACATTTTGCGACTGGCATACATAAAGACTGTCTTTAACAAGTGTGTTCTCATATGTAAAACTATGTGACTCCATATGTATTAATAGGATTTGGACCTAATTCTGCAACTATACTGTCTCCAGGAAGTTTTACTCTCTGGGATTTAGCTGTTTGCAGGTGCAACTTCTAATTTAAGCTAGAGGATGTGGTCTCTTCTGATTTAAAACATCTGACTCTGAAAACAAGGATACAATACATAACAAAGCTTATTAAACTGTGAAGTAAGATTTTAAGGTAGAAGTATAGTCTTGGTTCTTAAACTAACAAAATAGTTTGGAAAGGGGCAAGATTCATGTGCAGAAGCAGGTTTTTTAAGGCAGTTCACAGCTGTCTGGTGTTGAAAATTAAGTTAAACTGAAAACAGCTTTCACGTTCTTCTTTTTACTCAAAGACTGTTGCTTTTATTTCAGCTCTAAGAAGAATATTTAGGTGGTCCAAATCTGTCTCTTTTTTCCCAACTACATCAGCTGGCTAAACAAAGATACTGTGTTTCTTTAAAGCCATTTTATACTTATATCCTTAGATCTTTTGGCTGCAACAAAGCAAATGCTAATATATGGAGGAGAAACAGCTAATCTTTTCCAAACTTTTTTTTTTATGCCATGTTATGTTTTCACCTTGCAAGTTCTCCACTGAAACTGCCATGTTTTAAGCTATGGGATTTTTCATGTTAAAAAAAATTGGCTAAGAAACTAAAAGAGTCCAAAACCACCTTCTCCCTCTTTAAATTCATGGACATGCTGCAGAGGTAGCCTTCAGTCTTAATGTCTGGTCTGATCAGCCACATTTTTTATTTGCTGTTATATTTCGCCTTTGCACAGATTGCAAAACAGACTCTGAACTAGAGCTTTGCTGGTGTATTCCCTCAGAATGCTGGAAACATAATATCTATTGGTGTTGGGGGGGTAATTAATTTTACTGTATATTATTTTTTTTCCCCTCAGAGATCTATGCATATGTGATTTCTATAGACCTCAATACGGACTGAAGTGTAAGAATGAACTTTCCATTCAGCATATACAACATCTTGTTGTATATTCTTGTACATTGTGTCTGTATTAGTGTGTGCACAGACATTTAATTTGAAGCATGTTCCTATATTGTTTGTTCAAAAGCTATTTAAATATTTAACTAATAGCTATTCAAATACTTTGCTGTAGTTGCATCCCTAAATCCATACCTTGAATTTGGATTAAGTTAGCTGACAGAAAGACTGTGATTTTTTTACATTGTCATTCAACAAGTTAAAATTATCATGTACACGTGTATGTCTGGCTTTTTCATTAATGCTTCACACAAATTTGTCTTGCTCTCCTAGTTCTGTGTATAAGATATAAATTTTAACTCCTTTATTTCTCAGAGCCAGAAGTTGACTAGAGGAATGAGAAGGGAAGATTTGTTTGGTGATTTTATGATTTGGAGATAAATTCTGAGATGAAACTTTTGATTTGGAAGTTGACTAGTTGGTGGTAAATAGCACTAAAACATGTTGCCCTTAACCAAAGCTAGAAATTAAATCACTAATGATGCCTTAGAAATACCTTTAGAAAGAGCATCTGGTGATTGAGTACAACAACTTGCTATTGCACCTGACCATGTGTTTTTTACAGTTACTACAAATTATAACGACTGTAAGATTCATTATTACAAATGTTAACTACTGTAAGATTCAAAACACTTGTACTGTTATTTAAATAATGTCTTCGTTTTATCAGAACTGTGCAATTAATCAGGTGGAATAATAACTGAGATTAGACAGCATTTCTTCTGTAAATTAATACCTTCACAGCAGATGACAGTGTACTCTTTTTGTCTCAACATCTTATTTTGAAGTAACTCCACTGTCCAGGTGAAAATCAAGTCAGCAGGTTCTGACACAGCTGTTGACAAAAGTTACTTGTGCAGATACAATGGTACTGCCAAAACAGCACTGCCAGCACACTTTTTCTTGTATCCAAGGCTGATATGCAGTGCATCAGCAATAGTGCAGCCCTGCCCACGGGAACTGCAGCTGCACCAGGAGTGTTTGGGTATTACATAGCAAAATGCTCACGTTGTAGCACAAAAGGTGGTTTTATATAATGCTGGAAATCACTTTCAGCTCCAAATTAGTGTGTTGGTCTTTGTGATATTTCCTGTGCTGTAGTAAGACATTCAAGCCACTGCTCTCACCTCAAACATAATAATAAACTTCAGTGGCATCCTATCATGGTACAGCCCCCTCCAAAAATAAGCATAAAGCTTTGTAGAATAACTCACAAACTAACAACAGTTTTCATTGTTTTTTTCCCAACATCTTGGTGTACCTCACAAACATTACTGAGGTGAGCTTCACAAAATGTTTTTGCTGTTGTCATTCACATTTTGCAGAGGGAAACACAAAATTATATTCATCCTTCCCTGGGTCACAGGCAAGTCAGGCTAAAACATGCAACTCTCCTGAAAAGCATCAGAGTTGTATATGATGCTGTGGGCCAACAGTGAATGTGAAAACTGCCTGGGGAGAACCGTCATCTGTTTCCATCTCCTCTATTTGGCTTGTTCCCCTGGCAAACTTTAAGCAAATTAACTGTGATACTCTTTTTGAAGCCTCCAGCTATGACTTTCCTTGATACATTCTAGTTATCCTGCACCATTTTGGTTCAGGACAGTTCTTACCTCCTAGGCATTTTGTTGTGGGGAAAAGATAGGGGGCAAAGGAGCGCTGATAGGAGTTTTACAGCCTATACATGTATCAACCTTCAAATAGGTTTTGCTGCTCACAGGAGAAAATCTGATAAGAGCAGCTGAGAGTGGGAGTAGAATGACTGACTGCTGTTGAAGTTACTAACATTTAATTTACACTAAAGTCAGACTGAACATTTACCACAATATTGTTACTAGAGATCAGCTGGAGCCCAGACCAAAACATTTTTAAGGAATATATGCTTGTTTATAGGCTTTTCAGAAGGAAAGGAAGCCATGGGACAGCATCCGAATGTCCAATATTCCAAAATATCCCTAAAATACTGGAGTCATTGATTAAACTTCATCAAACAGAACACTCGTGCTGACACACTGAAGACTAATTTTCTTACTGACAGCTGTGCAAGCACTCAGATCAAGCTCAAAAGATGGAAGTAATCAGTTTGTCTACAACAGAAATTGAGAAAGAGATTAGGCAAATTGTATTGACACCAATTTCTTGAAGTACTTTTGTATGTGTACTTTTTGTATGTTTTAGATGGGCAATTAGCAGATTAGCTGTTTTGTTAATAGATACACTGAGCATGACTAGCCTTAACCCAAAGGCAGAAAAAAAGAGTACTAAAGGGAGTGAGAAACAATCCTTGAGATCCTTTGGTGCTTCTGGATTTCTCCGAGCTGGCAAAAAATCCCCATTTTGATACGCTGGAGCATTTAACATTCTTCCTTCTCATGTCTTTTCCCTTGTGTCACTTCTTCCCCACTTCTCCAGTTTAAGAACTACTTGAGGTCAGATGCTGAGAGGCAGAGACCAAGGTGTGTTCACTAAAGAGGTACCAGATGTAGTCATGAGACAGCTGCTGTGCCAGGGACGGGAGCAGATGCTGGGACCGTGCTCAGGGAACTTTGTCAAGGGACGACTGCAGCAGTGGGTGTTCACCCAGGAGTGCAGATATAGAGGCAATCTCTGTTGGCAGCAGCTGCTGAGACTTCAGGAGGGGAAAGCATAGATTAAAGCAGTCTTCATCCATTCTTCTTTACAGTGTTACCAAGCAATCAATTTGGCATTAAACACATGTATTAATGCATGTATTAAATCTATGAAACAGTCAGTGCCAGATCTGCTTCATTGCTAAACTTCATTTTATGACTCTCAGTTTTTCACAGAGTCAATATTAAATAAAAGAAGACTAATGTCCTGTGCTAGATATAAGCCATGAAATGTTCATGCTTGAGGAGTTATGGGGAGGCTCTTGTCTTCTGTAGGGTTGTGTCCATAAGTCAGCAATATGCTGACATACCTTAGCACGCTCTCCTAGGTATGGTGGTATGTATCATGAAAAGGCACTGTGAGAGAAGGCGCAGTCACAGTAATATGGTTGCACAGGTATTTCCCCTGACTGAGGCAGATGGGCATTTCAGAGGAAAGCCTGTCCCTTTTCTGGACCATTGCTGCCATGTCAATAGGTAAACTATAGTCTTTCTTTAGGGGCTTAATTATAATTCCCTCTGTGAAGGGAAATTAAAAAGCAATGTCTTAGTAAAAGAAAGCATTTACTAACATTGCAAAACAGGATTGATAGAATACGATCCCCCATTTCAGCTGTCCTCCTGTGGGGTTTTTTCCCCCAAAACCCTCTAAGAACAACCAGTGATTTTTACTGTGAGACAGTTTTTATTTCCAGGAAACAATATATGTTGATGACACAGAAGACATTTAGCTTGTTGAGTTTGGCATGGCATGTGTGCTCCTATCCCTCAAGCACAATGCGATTGCTTTCATGCTTTTTAAAGTAACAATACAATATGACCTTACAGAATTTACAGCTGCATTGATTGGTTTGAAACCAAAGTAAAAATAGTGTGGCAGAAATCATTAACACTACTCTCAGAGGCAGTCCATAATACTGGACATAGTAAGCTTATGTCTGGCTAAAAAAATTGAACTAGTACCATATATTTGAAAAACTCTTCACTATTATGTATTTCTGTCAGGTGTGAGATTTATTATTTTTAGCATCTCTCATCAAGCCTGTCTAATGTGATATAACCATAACCACATGAAGGCAGAGCCTCACTATTTAGAAAAGGCTGCATAGGTCCCTGTTGTGTTTATACATATATATAATAGCATCTAGGCCAGAGTAAATGAAATTGTGTACAGGAGATATTTCAGGTGGCAACTATACCAATTTAAGCTTTCCTCCATTTGTTAATAAACCAAAACAAACAATACACACACACTCCTCCCCAACAAACCCTACTCTGAGTGTAAGGTTTTCTACTGGATTTTCTTAGAAAGCATTTCAGAATCTGTAGGATAGAACTTCAATTATTTGAAACAATCACAGCTCCCTTGAAGGCAGCAGAGCTTCTCAGGGTTAATTTGTAGTTGAAGACTTAGCGCCAGGGTTATACAAAACATAGAATCACAGAATCCCAGAATCAATTAGGTTGGAAAAGACCCCTGAGATCATCAAATCCATTGATTGAACACCATCATGCCAACTAGACCATGGCACTAAGTGCCACATCCAGTGTTTCCTTAAACACCTCCAGCGATGGTGACTCCACCACCTCCCTGGGCAGTCCTTTCCAATGACATCCTGCCTGCGAAGAAATTCCTCATAATGTCCAAAACATACACCCATTCAAACATGTATGCAGCAGTTGGGTGCCTGGAGTGCCCTCACCTGACACCTGCAGGGGTGTCATTTTCAGTACCTCCTGTCTCTGAGTTTTCACCACCTGCATCTTACCAGTGTTCAGCTACTCATCCTGAAAAAGCATCAGCAACTGGCAGGGTTTGGGGCACCCCTGGCTCTCTGTAGTGTCCTTCTCACCCATCACATCTACAGGTCTGTCTATTTTCTAAACCCACCAATACATGACTCTGCAGTTCTGTATCAGTTTAATCTCCTTTACAGACATTCAATTAAACACAGCTGATGCAGATCAATAACTTTTATCTGCATGTCAGGCCTGGGAAAACTGAATCACAAAGAAACTAAACAACTACCTGCTCTCTCCCCACATCAGCCCTACAAATGTAATTGTAGGAAGTCTGTTTTCTACCACTTCTCTGGCAGAGATGTGTCCCTCAGTGCCTCATCAGTTCATGACAAACGTGCCCAAGAAACCAGCAGAAAATTAAAAGCTGGGCAATAAAGCTTCTTGTCTGCAAGCTGAAATTTGACAGAACTGGGCTAGAAATGGTTGCTGTTACACTCAAATTAATTCAAACATCTGATAAAGCCTGGAGCACCCATGGGTCAAACTCTGTATCTGAGTCCTCTTTCCACAAAAGGCTTGGTTTTTGATTTTTGAGGGTCCTGCCCAGAAACTGCAGCTAGATTAAGGCCTGAGTTTTTGAGGTTGTGAATGGTTCCAGTTCCTTTTAGTGCCAGTGAACTCTAAGAGGACCCAGCAACTTGACATTTGAAATGCTCATTTGGGTGCCAAAGCTTAGATACTCAAAACCAGGAATAATAGGAAATTCTGCAGCCGCTGCCTCCAGAAAAGCAAGTTCTTGGCAGTGTGATTCTCCTGCACATAAGAGGAAAGACACAGGATTCTGGGCATGGTCCTTCACTCTGCACCACTGTTGGGAGAGTCTCTGTGGCAGAAAAAAATCTACTTTGTGTGCTTTGCTTTAATATTTAGTACTCAACAAAGACCTTTTGTTTTTCAGGCCAAGCTTTCCTCCCTCCATGCAACACGACTTCATGATTCTGCCAAAGGCTCATCTTCAGGCCATCTCAAGGGCTCCAAGGAATTTCAAGAAGACCAAGATGTCAAATGCCACTGCCACAGGAAGGCAAGCAGAACAGCTTCAGCAGACAGCTCAGGCCCAGACACAAGATCAAATTCCATTCAGGAATTTGCAGAGTCCTTTGAAAAGCAATTGCATCTCAAAAGCAAGCGCTCAGTTTCTTTGGTAGGTGACAACCAACTTAATATCACTACATAAGAAAAAGCCCAATCAACCAACAAGTGAACCAGCTTTATCCTTTGTGTAATAGCTGTGACTTTGCTGGAGAAAGTGCAGAAATGAACTTGAACTAGAATTTCTCATATTATGTTGTCTCAAATTACTACAGCAGCACAAACAAGGTTAAAGTTGTATCATTAGTGTGAGGATTCTTGATGTAGTATTGCCATCTAGGCTTATTCAGAAATATTTATCCTCAAAATGAGGTACTGCACTGGCTGTGGCAATATTTTCAGAGGTTTCTATGGCTGTGACAACAAAACATGACAGTATAAAACCAGATTTGCTTCACTTTTGCCATGAGACCCAGCTCACTTTCTCACTGCTGCTGACCTGGTTTAACCTATATGGTATTATCTGTAAGACTGCCAGACACTGCAGTGTTTGAGAGGCTTCTCTTTTACCCCTTGGGACTCCATTCATCTGCTTTCTGCAGTGTCACCACACTGCTACAGCAGCAGCTATTGCTATAAGTGGCTGAACATAATGTCACTGTAGGGGCATGCAGGCAGCAGGGGACTCTCCCCCCATTTCATTCTTTTCCCCATCATTCTGTCCTGAGACAAGACCATTTTTTGTATGGTTTGTGTTGAAGTAGCAGCCAATAACAACATTTTGTCTATGACACTTTAACACATTTTTGTAATTATGATACATAATATCTGATGTATCATACAATGGAAGGAAGGGTAATAAATCCTAACTCACTTTTACATACCAGAACGCTATCAAATTGTCACCCCATTCAAAAAGCTGTGCTTGAATAACACTTGACATTATCACCAGATAGCCATAGAAGGAAGTATCTTTTTTTTTCCAGTTTGTTGACACTGATAGTTTGAATGGAAAATTAATTTTCATCTCTTTTTGCAGACCTTCTGTGCACCAAAAGAGAGAAAAAAAAATCTCTTTTCAATAAACATCATTATTACATGATCAGTTCCACAATTATGGTCCTTGATGACCGGTCTTCTAAGAATATGTAGAATTATGGTGATGACAGCGCTGTTATGCCATTGTCAAGATTTTAAGTGTATTCTCTAATTTTATTTTTCCCCTTTAGGAACTACTCAATTTATTTCATTTTGGAATTCACATTGCCTCGTGTGCCAATGCTCAATAGTGGTTATCTGGTTTATCATTTCTAATTTCTCAAAAATGCCTATGGCTAGACAGTCTGTGAGTGTGTAATAATTGTATGATAGGTATAGTGAGCATAATGTATTAAATTATCAGTTCCAGATAAAACATGCATTCCTGCACCCTTCTGTAATCCACAGTGGTGTGTGCTGAGCTGTATTTTAATCTGTCTTTCAAGTAGACCAGGTTGTTGTCATTTCCTCAGTTGCCATTGACATTTGAGAGATGTGAAGGACTTGAGGATCTCAGAGATTTGAGCAAGAGGTGTTAGAGATTTGAAAAGAGATTTGAGCTTAAACTCGTGTCTCCAAATGGAGCATTTTTTTGCATTCAGAGCTCTGTGAGTGCAATTCAAACCACCATGATGACACAGGTGAAAGAAAAGTGTGGGAAAGGTAATTCATCTCCTTCCCTGTATATTGCTTTTCTCTTAAAAACATGTCTTTGAGAATATTTCATGACCTTCAGCACTTGTTTTCAGTGAGGCCTGTGTGGCTAGTACTGAACAGCCTTCAAGCACTTAAAGATGGATCATGTGAAAGGACAGAAATGTGGAATCTGGGCTGAAATCTTGGAGCCCGTCTGTTTTTCCCTCCTGTCTGCTCCCATACTCAAGTCTGCTGGGCAGGTGACCCTTCTATCATACACAGAGTATAATCAAGGCATGTTTGCTGCCTCTTGCTGAGTTTTAGGGTGACTGGCTTGAGCCTTGAATTTGAGCCCATCATGGTAGACCTGATCATGCTGAAGCAGGTTACTGGAATATTTTTGTTATACATTACTAATCAAATAAAATGATGAGCTTGCTTTTTTTTATTCATGTAGGAGTCACTTTTAATTCCCAGCTATTTCTTCCCTGCCTTTTAGCAACCTGAAGGCGTGAAGGAGAGACGAGAAAGAGAAAGATTGCATTTGAGAAAAAGCAAGTCTCATAAGAGAATGGAAGAGAAATCAGAGCCAAGGAGAGAACGAGAAGAAGCTGAAGGTTCAGAAGTACCTGCAAAACACAACGAACAGTTTCCATCACAAGCAAGCATTCAGAAAGGATATTTATGCACAGGCAGCTAGAATGCATTGAGATAATCAATTTTAACATTCCCTCTAAAGAGCAGAGGGAGAATTCTTGTTTTGTTTTGACTAGAAGAGGCCTGATAGCTAGAATAAACCCTAAGCTGTAAAACAAAAGTAAAATTCAACTGCATCATTGACACCATGTTACTACCTTCCTTTCTTTACTTTTGTTGTTAGGAATGTGACCTTTGTCATAGGAGTATATCAGTAGCAAGATCCAAGTTAGCAATTAACCACCATAAGAGGGTTTCAGGCAAATTTAGCATTGTGGCGGGACAGTGGTGGATGTGCTCATTTGAGAGAAGGCCACCATGAATGTATTACAGAGCCGTGCAGTCATCCAAAGCCTTATGTTTCTGTTTTAACTAAAAACAGGCTTACTGGTAGGTTTGGGAAGAAAAAAGTACACATAAGCAGCCAACTGCTTCCTGGCCCTGATGTTCACTTAGATTTGTCTTGAAAACACGTATCTTTTTGCTTTGACAGTCTTTCAACTCCAAATTTATGGACTTTTTCTCTTCTATACCTCCCTGATGTCTCACTTCTCTCTGCTTTCCCTATCGCTATGCAGTATGACTCGTTTCTCTGACATCCCTCAACCCTCTCCCATGTCCTCAGTCCCATTTCCCCAGTCACACAACTAGTTCATTCTCCCAGATTTAACCTCATCACCTTGCTTCTTTTGTGGCTTCCCCCTCTCCATTTACTACTTCGTAGCCCTTTCTCGTAGCTACCAACCTTTTTTGCTGCATCTCTACTCATGCCTCATCAAAATTTGAGCTTTGCTGAAATTCTCCAGGAAAAACAGAGATGTTCTATCTCTCTTACTTCCATATAATCTCTTCAAGGGGTTGCTGAGGCACTGCAACCCTTTTTCCTTTTTTTCTTTTCTTGAACTTGGGCCAAACCAAGGGAATTCGAACTGTCATGATCCATGAAAAGCAGGAGTCAGGAAAACACCATTCCTCTGGCTGAAGATCTCCTGAACAGAGGTGTAAATCTTATTTCCACATGCTCACAAACACATACACATCCCCATAATTCCCCCATGCTTCCCTTTCTTCAACAGGCAAGTCTTCTCTCTAGAGACAACCTTGCAATCTTTGGGAATATTCTCCCCTGCTTTGGATAATATCCTGCTTTGGATAATATACTTAGAGAAGAGTGAAGACTAATGAAATAATGAAAAAAAGTCAAAGTCTGATGGATATTCTTCCTGCGATTTTCTGTAATTAACAAAGATCTTACTATTTTACCTTAGAGCCTTAATTTTGAAGTTCAACCTTTTAAAAGCTTAGGGCATCCTTAAAACTTTGTAAGACTTCTCTCCATTAAAGGATTGTGTTTTGGTTTTTTTTTTCAAGTAGGGCTTTGGGGGATATGTAAGAAAGCAATTGAATCTTTGCTGATGCTTGTAAATTGCTTCTTGCATGGTAACTTATAAACTAATAAATCTGACGGAAAAATGTTGTTCCTATGCATAGTTCCTGTCCTGCTCAATCCAGATTGAATTTTTCATTCTGTCAGCCCAAACTTACATACTGATGGCTTTCCTTTTATAACCGTTATTTGAAGACTGCATTACAACAGACCAGGATAGAAAGGAACATGGACATCTGTGTCTGAGTTGCTCAGATAAAACCTCTCACATATATCCTTTCGTGTAGCAGCCTGCCCTCACATCTTGTGAGAGCTGAATGCCGTGGCTGCACCCTGGATTTCAGCCCATCAGCCATCTCCTCCTGTTTTACAGACAGATTGACTCAACAGGCCCCAGCAGAATTTCATTGTGTTCATCAGACTTACGTGCTGGTTGTACACCACACCTGATGAACAGAAAATGCCAAAAAGAGCTAAAATAGAAAAGTCATGTGTGGCTGGCCCTGACTTGCTGTTTTCCATCTCCACCAAAGCACAGTCAAGCCTCACTGCCACCGAGGCAGCTGGGCAGGTCTGCCTGCAGACAGCTCCAGTGTGTAGCACTGAACCCCATCTCTCAGATGGGAGAGTCTGTGAGTGTTCATGTCCTTCTTGAACTGGCCCATCAGTCCCGCTGTGTGACATTAGAAACAGAAGCTTTCAAATGATGTCCCCTCTTTGCTCAAAAGTGTTCTCCCTTACTCCCTATCATGCCTGATTAGACCAACAGCCCTTTCCAGTTCACTCCTGTCTAGCCTGGTACAGTAGTATTACTTCTAAGGACTGAAGCTTGCACGATAGAATGAAATCATTCTCCACAGAAATTAACAAGTATTCCATAATGAATCAGGCATTTGGGAAGGAAGGTAATCATCCAAAGAGGAATCTGATTGTAATGGCACATCTGATATTTCTGTTTCCACATGAAGAGGAATGGGGGTATACAAGTAGTCAGAAAGGCTCCAAAGGGTTTTTATTCTCACAGTAGGTCACCAATTCAGTCATGACTGGCATAAAAAGTAGTCACTGCCTTGATTCCCATCCTGAATTCCTGGAGCAGCGGGGCTGTGGGCAGTTTCTGCATAGATGCCCATTCTTGTGCAAACACTGTTTTTTCTGCCCTTTCCAGATGACTGCAAATTGCATCAGAGTCCAAACCTTGGACATGAAGGAGGTCAGTTAGTAGGAAGCAAAGACAAAGGGATGAAAAAATGTCTTTTCCAAAATGCTCATTATCAGGAAATGTTGAAAACACAGAACAGTTTTACAAGAAAGGAGAATGAGCAGGAAAACTGATGTGATTCAGGGGCCCATGAAGAATATTTTAAACTTGCTGTGTCTCATGAGACCACGGTCTGGTAAAACACTCATCCCTTTGGATCCTTCCCAGCGCTTCAGGCTAACTAGAAAGTGCTGCTGTGGGAAGTCGAGGTGTGGGTACATACAAGCATTTCAAGTGCAAGATAGAGTTACACCCCAGTGTTTTCTGAGAGGGCTAAGAAGGGAACATCAACTGCTTTTATGTAATTTTTTACGTGGGCATTCCCAAAGCAAAATATTTATGCTTTTGTGCTTCTCAGACATTGTTTAATTGCAGTATGGTTTTGAGGATGAATTAATTTATGAGTACTTTTTAACTTATCATGCATTATTATATGAAATGCCAGACCCACAAAAGCAAAATGAAGCAATAGCTAAATAAGAATTTCTGGGAAAAAATAGGAAATATTTAAATACTTAACTAAAATAAAGCAACCATGATGTATAACTGAAGAAGAATATAAGAGCCATTAAAAAAAGAAGCAAAATATTAAATATGCAAAAAATGAAAATGTTAATCTGTAGTTTTTTGCTCTTTAGCACAGAAAAAGGTATTTGGGTAAGCACAGCTCTGGCTCTGAATGCACTCAGTGTACACGTGAATAGTGTAAAAACACATAGAGATATAATCAAACTTGATAACCAAAATTATTCACACAGAAATGAATCATAATCATGGGACTTGGAGTTTATACAGCCATCTGCCAAAACCATTGAAAACAAACAGGTCTTGAAATATGTCCAGAAGGATATTGCAGCCAAAATCTAGTCAATCAATGAGAGAAATGAACATTGAAATCCAACAATCTATTATAGATAATGCCCTGCCTGCAGTTGTTGTGCCAGAGCTTTAGGTAACTGTGCGTGAACAAATGTGAAAATAAACATGCTCATCATAGGAAAAATTGTTTGTGGAGTGTTGATTTTCATTTTCACTGTTATTTTAGATTGGCTTGACAGATGATATTCCTCCTATTAGGAGGATCCCCCTGAATCCTAGCCCCATCTCTCCTGTTCTTTGGAAAAGATAACTTCATTCAGCTGTGTCTTGTCTCTAAGTCAGACAGAAAATAGGAGAAAGAAGTGACACAACACATCAGAGACTAATATTCTGTCATGTCACTTGATGTATTCTTGTCCTTCTTATACATTTGTCAAAATGCTTCAATTCATGCAATTTCTAAACTCATAGAGTTTTGTTGTATGGAGAAGACCCACCAACTTGTGATATTTATACACAAATTTTCATCAAAAAGCCAGCAAAGTCCATACAGAGAGTCCTCATCCTGGATAATTAGTCCTCATCCTGATATTGAAGTATCAAAAAAGAACTCTCTTTTTGCTCCAAAGCTTGAGCATAAGGATTAATGGACATGGTTCCCCTGGATTTCCCTGCAACCGTATCCCATTATGTGAGGTTTTGGCCCTTTGGAAAGCAACTCTTCCTGGACCTTTTATGTAATGGATCTCAGTTCTCTGCTCTTCATATATACACAAAATACATCTTAAATGTTTCTCAGAAGCATTTTAAATCTAGTGGGTCTACCCCCTGAGGACTCCTATACAGAGAATTTTGCCTGTCAGAAAGCAGCTACAGTGACTTTACGTTAGCAGAAGTTTACGCCTGGGAGAGAGGAACGATTAGGGCATTCCTTTGCACTCATGGACCCAGCAGCAATAAAAAGTTCTCAGGGAGAACAAAGTAACTTTGAGCTGCTTTCGTCTGTGCAGGAGTGGCAATCAAAAGTTCCCCCAGGATTTGGGATGCAAAAATATATTCATGAACTCCTTCTCCACTGTGCCAAGCTCTACATACCCGCAGCTGGAGATGAGGCTACTTCAGACAGCAGATTTTCCATTCCTTTAATGCCCTTTGCATGCAGCAAAAGTATTCTCACATCAGAATAATCCAAGTCTCAACTGGTCAATGGGCATCAACCATAATGTCCATCACTCGTTCAGGGTACTTGCAGAGGTCAATAAAGCTAAGATGATCCCAGCTTGGAGGCAGGAACTGGAATGTTTTTTGGACTTACAAGTTCATATTTAAAGGGTTTAGGGTCTACATATTCAACAGGGGATTGTAACCTGTAGTGGTTTGAGCCAGGTTTTCCCCCTGAAACTAGGAAAGTGGTAACCCCCAGGGGGTGGTGACCCTTGGGGTCTGACCCAATCAGTGCTCCTGCAAAATATAAACATATCTTTGGAGACCGGAAAAGAAGCAGTAGTACTTGGGAGAAGAAGAGGTGGCCATGTTGTAGAGGCCACGAGGAGAAGGGGCTCTGGCCCCTTAGGGGGCTTTGCCCCCCCAGCCCCCGGTTGGGGGGCTGCAGGGACTCGGAATGGTGTTGAAGCTGGGCTGAGTGCCTGCGGCTAGGAACTGGGGGAGTTTT